AGCTATAAAAAGTGATGCAAAAACATGAGAACAACCTTTATCATACCACAACATGCAGCCTGAGGGAGACTAAAACTGAATAATCTGAAAGTTATCAATCAATGCATAGCAGTGACAAGGAATGATTTTTCAAGTGGTTTGTGTTATTTACAGATGAATTAGTCTCTATTTATCATCTAGTTCTTTCAATTGAATATGTCCTGAGTTCAATGAGTGGCCATAAAGAGGCCATTACTCATGTTTTCAAAAAATGTAACTATTTTCTGCGATAAGTATGGGTAGTTTGTGTCTTCAAGACCGGGATGACTTAGTTTCTCAATGTGTCTCCTCTGCTAAAGTGAGTTCAAGCCCTTGCAATAAGTATTTTCCATTGCAATGCATGCTTCTTTCCCACAATTGGGCATGGTACTTGTCATTGTGACAGTATTCTGACTCATTTCCTCAGATTATTATGGTTAATACTCAATGAATAAATTATCTTGAAAACGAAGAATAACTATATTCACCACAATAGCAATCAACACCATCTGAAAAAAATATTACAAATATTATTTTTAAAATCAACAAGAACAAGAACATTGAAAGTTTTAAAAAAACAAGATGAAGTAGAATTCTAGAGTAAATTTGTAAAAAAAGTAACAGAAACAAGGACAAGTAGGATTCCAAATGACCAACAAAAATACGAAATGAAAATCCTACTCTCGTGACACAAATTCTACTCTACATTGCAAGATGATCTGTAATTTCTTAAACAAAAATATAGAAAGTACAATGTAGAGTAGAATTTGCGTCACCAGAGTAGGATTTTCATTTCGTATTTTCGTTGGTCGTTCAGAATCCTACTTGTCCTTGTTTCTGTCACTTTTTTACAAATTTACTCTAGAATCCTATTTCATCTTGTATTTTTAAAATTTAGTGCTTTATTTTGGTGGTGCTTTATTATGGCAATTTTGCTGTAAAATTGTAATTGGCTGTTTTTAATTTGGCGATTTTTGTGTACACGTGCATTACATTAATGATTGGCGGCTTTAATATTGGCAATTTTGCTTGCAAACTGCCAATGGCTAAAATAAAACTCAACCAAATTATTTATTTCAGTGTCACGCCCATTATCATTAGCACACAAGTGCTTCTAACAAAATTTAAGTATTGAAATATTCATTGCTCTCTAAAGTAAGGCACTAAGGCAGTCTATATTTTGCTTGTACTGATAGTGATACCTAATCCAAAATATCATTATAGAATCTGAAGTGCCTGTATTTTACAAAATTTATTTCTAGGTCCTAGGATACTACATTAAATTATTTACCTGTCATGACATTCATTACAAAACACCGAGCTACTCTCTACCACGGTGGCCCCATGAACAGTTTTCACATGCCTTGAAAGACTCGATTTATGTGCAAAAGTCCTTTCATACAGACTGCAAGCAGACATAAGGAATTTTAACATGAGGAATGGAACACGTGTCTTCAGGATATCCCCAAAATACGGGGTTTTACTAGATGCTAATCTTCTGTCTGTAATGACTTGTACACAGGACAAAGTTATGCGCTTTCTAACAGCAAAAGAACATAGAGATACTGTCTAAAGACTTCTCTAGAAGCATTAGAAGGTAGAGAGAACCTTCATAAGTCTTAATAAGAACCCATGCAGTTGTACTTGCAAGGTGGGGAAAACAATTGTAGGAACTATTTTTACCGGGGGCACTGCTACACTGACTTTTGGTCCGGCAACACTACAAGGCTAATTTTTACACTATTCTACTCCAACTATCCATGCGCAGGTCCGCAACTGTTTTAATAACTCTAACCGGCAATAAGATAAAGTTGCCCTCTCTCTATCACCCCAGCCCAGGCCGCTTACCTCGTTCAGCCATTTTGTTAATTAAAAAAACGTGCTCCAAAATGTGGGTGCAATACTTAGTGGAGGTTCCAGTTCCAGCTAAAAGAAGGTATTTAGTCTTGGATACCATTGTTTTATCATTTATGTGTGTTTAATAAATTGTATTTCAGTTAAAAAAACAAACCGTGGCAATAATATTAATTCATGTTATGATCATGAACTTGCAACATGCAGAAACAACATTCAACAGGACCGGATTGGAGTGAAGAGATGGGTACTGTCATCTTCTTGAACCAGATTTGTGTCAAGATTATTATTTTACCATACTTCACTAAACACTCAGTATAGCATTCCATTAGCATAACACTCAGCTGTTACAGAGTGACTTAGGACTGTTATCTAACTGGAGTGAAGCTGAATGGTCTTGCTTTCAACAGTGAGAAGAGCTGTGTGATAAGCTTCCATCAACCAAGGTCAGCTCCTGTAATTTTTGACTATACATTAGATGGTGAACCTATTGCTCACAGAAGTACTTGCAAAGACCTTGGTGTTGTCTTCTCTGATTCACTCTCTTGGTCCACCCAAGTAGACTTGGTGCTACAGAAAGCATATGGTATACTGAGGAGAATAAAACGAGTCTTTCCAGGAGCTACCACACCAACTGCTGTTAAAAAGACACTATATCTGTCCCTGGTACTCCCTATACTTAATTACTGTTCCCCAGTGTGGCGACCCTCCCTAATCAGAGACATTATCTCACTAGAGAGACTGCAGAGAAGGGTAACCAAATATATCCTGTTTGACTTCCAGATGGACTACAAGTCTAGGCTCGAAACTCTAGAGCTCCTGCCCCTAATGTACTATCTGGAACGTGCCGAACTTGTCTTCTTCTTTGTACAGTTGAACCATAGTGACCCGTGTTTCAATGTGTATGACTACTTCTCCTTTGCATCCTCTTCCAAATGTACCCGTAGCTCAAAGTTCAACAAGCTAGTCCACTCTACTGTCTCACTGACTCAAGCTCGACATACTTTCTTTCACCGTCTCCCCAGACTATGGAACTCCCTACCCCCAGTAGACCTATCAATATCTATCAACAAATTTAAGTCTCTAGTAAATCGGTATTTTAAAGATAAATTCAACAATGTTTTTAACTCAAACAATGCACACACTTTTAATACTGTCTGTCCATGCTCTATGTGTCTGTGCTGTCCTCTTCCCTCTTCTTTTACTACTCCCTCTTAATTTACTATTCTTGTGTCTGTTTGTTTATTTATTTCTTCCAGGATGTCAGGACACCTGTTCCTGACAACCCTTCAGGAATTTCTTCCTCTCTCCTCTGCCCTTCTCCTGTCTGTTTTTCATCTGCTTTGTATAAGTCCTGTAAAATTCTAATAATAATAATAATAATAATAATAATAATAACTATTCACCACAATAGCACTGAATTGTCACCATCTGAAAAAATGTTACAAATATTATTTTTAAAATCAACACAAACAAGAACATAAAAAAATTTAAAAAAAAACAAGATGAAGTGGGATTCTAGAGCAAATTCGTACTGAAAAAAAAAGCCTAACAGAAACAAGGACAAGTATGATTCCGAACGACCAACGAAAATACGAAATGAAAATCCTACTTTCGTGACACAAATTCTACTCTACATTGCAAGATGATCAGTAATTTAAAATAGAAATATTAAAAGTATAATGTAGACTGAGTAGAATTTGCGTCACGAGACTGAGTAGGATTTTCATTTCGTATTTTCGTTGGTCATTCGGAATTATACTTGTCCTTGTTTCTGTTACTTTTTTACGAATTTGCTCTAGAATCCGAGCTAGAATCCTACTTCATCTTTTTTTTAATTTTTTTAAACCATAGATGCTTTGATTCCACTCGGTGCGTGGGCGGCTAACTTCCTTTATCCACCCATTTCCTTCCAACTCATACTCAACTTTACCAATTAGCAGTCACAAAATGGATGGTGCTTATCAGCAAGACATTGGTAAGTAATAATAATAATAATTAAATATTGACTGCAGACTGAAGTGAACCAGCTGATCTACTCTCAATATTGATAGAGCTACTGGAAAAGGCTTTCCTCATGTTTGGTTTGGCAGCTGATGACCGAGAAGTGGAAAGATTAATAAAAGCTTTCTTGGTTCCTGTTACTTTGAAAATGAATTCAAAATTTAAACCAGTTCAAGACAAGGTACTAACTTTATATTGTATGGCTGATAGTATTGAAGTGGGTGGTGGTGACTTGCTAGATTTTGTGACTTAATTCCTGCAATTTTGTTCACTGAACGCCTGGATACATATCATATACAGTACATGTAATACTGGGTTTGACTTATACTGTACACTTGATGTAGTTGATGTATGACCATATAATTCCATCATCATCAAGAATATCTCTTGTTACCTACAAGCATAGTCCATGTCCAGAAATTAGAGGACACGGAACTTAATTTTTCAGTAAAACTTCGTAAATTATTGAAAGCTAAATGTAGGTAACATGAATGGAAGAGTAGCTTTTCACTCTTCTCTTGAATCACTAAAGCAGGAACAAGCTTCATTTCACTTAGCATACTATATGCTACAACTTATGCTCATATGTTATGTTGAAGTGTGGACTTCTTAGCTCAAAGACAAGGACTATTTACACCGCCATTTTACATTCACTTACATGTACCGTATTGTTTTTTTCCAAATGTTAAGCAATATAATTTTATTTCTTTTCATAAATGGCCTTCGTTTCACTTAGGACTAACAAATAGAGTTTGCTACATGTATATTATGGTATAAAAATTAAGGAGATTGCATTATGATAAGCCATGGACTTTTATGGCTGAACACGAGAAGTTTTTGCAATCGGATTGACTGCAGTTGCATCTTATACCATATTAAGAGTACCAAAGTGATCTGAAAGCCTAGCAAACAAGTATTTTGAAGGAGATGAGGCTGTTTTCTGTCTCTTGAAGTCTGAATTGGCTGTATTTGGAGCTATCATAACTCTTCCCATCAAATGTCCTTCGTCTGCCGTTTTCTTGCAAATTAGAACCTCACAGACATTTTGTAGTGATAATTATATTGTTATACAACTGATCTTTCTTTCCCTTAAAGGCTAATTCTCCTCAAAAGTAAGTTATCATCGACAATAATGCTCTTTTCACCAGACCGCCATTTTGTTACTATGGTAATGGTTAATTAAAACATCATAATTATCCATGAATATCATTATTATTAAATGTCCACCAGTGCAATAACAATTTCTGGACATGCAGACCCTGCCCTCTTGGTTTAAGTCTGAACAATACAAAACCAATGACTGTAGACCCCCTTAGGCAAGAATTAGTTTGCGATACCGTATATTCTATCCACCAGATCCCCGTTAACTAGGTTAATGATATTCATAGAGATACTTTTAAAACAACAGAATTTCTTGGCTGCCATTTTGGGGGTATGAACTATACAGTAACCATTGGGCCAAAAAGGCTAAAATGGGCCTGATCTGCTTCTCCACGTAACTTAGAGGCTCCTGACTGTCGCAGTGGTAAAGAAAGGAAGATTAATTTTGAAATATTTTCTCTCTGGATGTAGCTCCTTTGCTTAATTTGTTGGAAAAATGGTAAAATAACACCTTTTCCTCGTTGAAGACTGTACAAAGTATACCCCCAACATGGCGGCCAGAATAATTTTTTTCATTTATGGTATCCAAATGAATATCATTAAAATTTTTATGAATATCGTGCATCTCATTCTCACAGATCTGGTTGATATACAAAGAAATAATACAAATGAGTTTTCATCTGCCATGTTTTACGTCAAAGTTATGCAGAGTTCCAATGGCTGATGTACAAAGAGAG